CTATTTTGTGATCCTATATGATCAAAATATTGAAAGGTATTCAGTATACCCAAAGGGTCACTAGTTTCAATATTTATATATAATACACTTGCAGCACTGTATAGTAAATGTACAATGCTTTGTTTCTTCCTTGTCCTTCTCTCCTTCAATTTTTCCCAACTAAACACTCAGTTTATTAATTTTTATTCAGTTATATATTTATACATATTGAGCATCTATTGCCAGACACTATTTGTTCATTTGAAACAAAATTTATCAGTTGCGTAGACCAAAGATTATATTACCACAGAGGAAGACAAGAAACAAACAATATAGTTAATATGCAAATTCCATAGTACATTTAGGGGTAAAAAAATGCTTTAGAAAAAAGAAAAACTACAGCAGAGTAAGGGACCCTGAGAAACTGGGCTGAGAGTGATTTAGAATTCTAAATCTGGGTGTGTTTGAAGTAAGACAATATTGAGAATTTTTTWGAACCATTGAAAGAAGTGAGAGCGTGGGCATGTGAATCCAGGAAAGAAGTCATCTCAGGCAGGGGGAAGAGCTGGTGCAAAGGCCTTACAGTGGAAGTAAGCTTGGTGTGCTGAGATCCACTGAGGAAGTCTGAGTGAGCATTGGGGGCAGTAGTCAGACAGCTGGTCTGAGGATGGTGGTTGTCATCTCACAGAGAGTCTTAAAGGCTTTTAAGACTGATCCAGGGAGCCACTGAAATTTTTCATGCAAAGGAGGACCATAATTAGACTTGCATTTCAAAGAAATCTTTTTGGCTGGTTAAATAAGAATAAATTACAATGGGGAAGAAGTAGAGAAATATATAAAGAGGCAATTGTAGAATATAGCTCAAACCAGAATGGTAATACTGGAGATTCTGAGACTACATTCATCTTTGTTATAGTTTAGATTAGGTATTCTCCAAAAGCTCATGTGTGAGACAATGCAAGAAAGTTTAGAGATAACATGATTGGGTTATAAAAGGTTTAGCCTAGTCAGTATATTAATGCCCTGATAGTATTAACTTGGAGGTAAACTGTAGACAGGTAGAGTATGATTGAAGGAGGTRGATCACTGGAGGCATGCCTTTGGGTTTTTTATTTGTCCTTGTTGAGTGAAGCTGGCTCTCTCTGCTTCATGGTGGCCAAGGGCCATGTTCCCAGCTGCTTTCCTTCCATCACCTTGAGCCCTAAGGAATAGAGTCAGCTATCTATACATGAAGCCCCCAAATAAATTTTTCCTCCTCCAATTGTTCTTGTCAGGTCTTTTGATCACAGCTGTGAAAAAACCGACTTAAACAATTGTGAATTACAACCCAAAGCATTTCTGACAGAATGATAGATGAGAGAGAAGAAATAATGACTCCAAGGTATTTGACCCAAACAACCAGAAAAATAGAATTCCCATCAAGATTAAGACAAAAGGGGCGGGGTGGAGGAGCTCAGTGTAGAACATGTGATGTGCTTAGCATGCACATGGACCTGGGTTCAATCCCTAGCCATTAACAACAACAACAACAACAACAAAAAGACAAAAAAAAAAAAAATCCTAATCATTCCTGCTTAGATGGGCCCTTATCTGAAAGTGCTTTAATACCCGTTGTAATCCTTATATATTGTAGGAAAGGAGCCATTAATAGCCACATCTGATCCTGGCCAGTAGTAGGCAGCAGCTTTYAAACCTTGGTACATTGCTGTCAGCCATATCTATAAAAAAAGAAAACCGAGAATAAGTGAACATTGATAGGATAATTAGTTGGCATTGAAATGGTACAATTTATTGGAAACAACAATTTYAGCTGCAAAACTTATAATAATAATTAAAACTTGTCTTTGCAAAGGCAAAAATATATAAATATTAAAGTATCTGCCTCAAAAATTAAAACATGTGGTAAAGCAGTAGGAACAAGTTCTTTTTTTTTTTTTCAAACTGATGAAATTATAAGATTCTTCTTCCCTTTAAAACAATTGGAAAATATTATGAGGAAAAAATCAGATATTTTTTCTAAGTAATTTCTAGATGGATATATTTATAATAGAAAACTCAAGTTTCAACATAAGAGTGAACAATAACAAATGTTGAAATTTTTCAAATAATAATAATAATAAATAGTGGTGAAACACCTTCAGAACCCAGCCCTTAGAGTCAAGATGGATAATTTAAAACTAAAAATGGAACAAGAAGATTGATCCATTATCACATAGGTATAATGGGGGGTACTCTGGATGCCATGAATAGAATGCTACATACTGGTTGCCCCTTCCACCAGGCTGGGTTATTTTTCTCCTTTGAAGAAAGTGAAAAATTCTTGTTGAGATATACATCGTACATATTATTGTCAATGATACCATGTGATTCTGGATACAAGCCCTAAAATGTAATTAAAAAAGAGTGACAAATAAAATTATTTTAGTAATTACTGCTTATTAAAGTCAAATGTATATTTAAGTTAAAAACTGTAAGATCTATAACTCATATCTAGGAAGGATGTCAAGTACCTTTCAATATAAAATACCTGGATCTGAACTCAAATACGAGGTTAGCTAGCCAGATATAGACAGTTTTTTTGCTTCTAGTTCTGCCATGGTATACAGTAGCAAACAAAGGACATTAGGTGGATGTTTTGCATTGATGGTGTTAGTAACTATTCATCAACAAAGTTTCCCATAATATAATAATAATTATCCACTGTTTATATTAGCAACAGTCATAAGAAATTTACTAGATAGCAGCTTTCAATTACCAAATATTACCAAATATTTGACTAAATGAGATTAAAGCTGGTTATCAGTGTTTTAGAAAGAGTCTGCCCAGTTTCTGTCTATCCTCTTTTCCATTCATCCATTCCTCTATCAATCCAATCATTCATTCAAATTATATATAGTCATTCAATTACTCTACACATTTTCATTGAATACCTATTATATCTCCTATAATCATAACTACTTTTAGAGAGAGAATTTTTTTTTTAATATTTATTTTTTTTAGTTGGCGGACACAACATCTTTGTTGGTATGTGGTGCTGAGGCTCSAACCTGGGCCGCACGCATGCCAGGCGAGCGCGCTACCACTTGAGCCACATCCCCAGCTCATAACTACTTTTAGACAGATTCTAGGGTTATTCAGAACATCACTATTTATATGACATAGATATCATATAAATTAATAGCTTGTATATAATCTTTTATTCATATAWATGTGTGTATTATATGTATTATGTATGTATATTTATGTGTGTATACGTATATTGTCAATTCTTATTATTCAAGGTAGTTATGTTCTCTAATGTTGTGATGAACACTGAATTACCAAAKACTGAACCATTGCTTCTAGGAGAAAACATAAGGTTAAGTTTCTGAAGCCTTCTGGCATSACATTTTTGTGTATTGATCATCACATTACCTTCTGTGTTTCTGAAAAATGGCACCTATTTAATATATATTTTTAGCTCACTGTACCCATGCCTGAATGAAGTTTACCTAACGCATGATTTTCTCTGTAAGGCATGTCAAGGCCTACTTGCTATAGGAACAGTAGGTGGCACTTCAGCACTATGATTGGGGGCCATTTTAAATGACAAAATTACCAATAAGAAGCACAAACATGAGAAACATGACTGTTGACATCATGAGAACTAAAACAAGAGGACAGGCATGCTGCTTTGTATACCTCAGCTGGGAACATGTGCATCAGGCAACTCACATGGCTCCTGGGCATATTCACAAATGACCAAAAATGCACTACATTTGTGGATCAGGGGTTACAAATAARTTTTAGAAAGCAGATGAATTTGCAAACACAAAATCTGCAAACAATGAGGCTATATACATCCAAACATACAATTATTTAAAATTTTAATCAGTCATAGTTATCATTCCATAGTAATAAAATACTATTATGCAAAATAATAAAGACACAAATATCCTTTGGTGATAAAGGCTGAAGCAGAGGACTCATAAGATGTGTTCCAAATCTATAAATGTTAATTTTCCTTTGAGTTCATTTGAATCATTTCAGTTACATCTTTTCATGTATTAAGGAAAATTTACTCCTTTTAGTTGTTTTAACTAAAGAGATGTTGTTTATCTAAAGAATCAGTATGAGTTCATTCATGAAACATAAGTCTTTATTAAGTTAGACATCATAAAAAGACTAATGAAAACAACATTTCCACGTCACAGTGGTGATGAAGTTTACCTAACCCATGATCTTCTCCGTAAGGCATGTTGAGTCCTACTTGCTATAGGAACATCAGATGACACTTCAGTACTATGACTGGGGCACATTTTAAACAGGAAAATAACCAATAAGAAGCACATATAACCTACCATTATCAGTAGACCTTCAGTTAAATAAAGGGCAATAAAAAGGCCAGAGGAGAAAGGTATTTCACAGAGGTTATTCTGGCCTCACACAAAGGTGAATAAGCCAAATGTAAGGACATTCACTMGTAGTTAATGTCTCACAGCACACTACAGCCTCCTGTTGAACCATGCCTCCCCAGCTGAATTAGCCATAAACTATCACTGCATATACTTGTGAAGTATGTGGCCTGGAATTGGACAGTTCTTGCCCAATCACATTTGTCTGACATGGTTGGTTTCCTATTTGTGGCAAAGATAGGAAAAGTGGTTTCCCACTGGGCAAAGCACTTACCGTGACAATGGTATAATGATTTGGGAAGGTTTTGGTAGGATATACAGCTCTCATGTATTTTGAATGAATTCCACATGTTTCTGCAACAAAGTACAGTGAGAAATTAGAAAGTTGTCTCTTCCTTAGAAATATCTTGAATAATTAAAACTCTGAACATGATCTGGGCACAGTGGCACATGCCTGTCATCACAGCTACTCAGGGAAGCTGAGGCAGGAAGATCACTAATTTGTGGATAGTGTGRTCAACTTAGTGAGACCTATGTCAAAATAAAACAAAAAGGGCCAGGGATGTAGCTCAGTTGTAGAGTGCTTGCCCAGCATGCACAAGGTCAGGGGTTCAATCCCCAGCACCATTAAACAAACAAARAATAGCCTGAACATGAAGGTTTTCCCAGTAAACTAAAGAGTGGATCGAATAGGGAAATAGGTTGAAATCCTGACCCCTACACTTCTTCCATTCCAAAGAATGTCCRTTTTTAGGGAAGGAATGAGGTGAACCAAGGCCAATAAAATTTTTCTGTGAAGAGCCGGATAATACATATGGTTTCTRTTGGAATAGCTCATCTCTGCCATGAAGCAACCAAAGCACTCACAGGCAATACACAAACTAAATGAGCATGACTACGTTCTAATAAAATTTTRTTGGTGGAAATTGGAAACTTATTTTCATATAATTTTTATATTACAAGATATTCCTTTATTTAAAAAAAATTTAAAATGCAGAACAACTCTTAGCATATGACAGGCAATATGAAATCAAGCAGAGCAAGCAGGATTTGGCCTGTTTGGATTGCTGATCCCTGAGCTAAAGGTAATCTAAATTATAYACTTAATTTGCTTTTTCTTTCTGACTCTGGTCATTACAGTAAGAATCTCTACATATCATGGTTTCTCAGMTGATAATTCCTATATGTAAAGTCTCCAACATAATAAAAATCAACACAACTGTCTAGGTAACTAAAGAAGAATTTGACATGTACAATTATATAAGCCCATGTCACATAGTAATGTTTGCAAAATGAGCTAACTTTACTGCTTATTATTTTCAATTCAGTTCCCATTTGATCTGTAAAGTTTYCTGWACTCTGTTGTTCACAAAATATGGCATTAATTTTGCTTTCATTGTTCTGTTATTTTCAATCTGTGCAGTAACCTTGTTTAAGGAGGTCAGAGCTACTGGAGCACATTGCTATTTCCTTTGCAGCAATAAAGTCCAAGAAATTTTCCATACCCAAATCCCACTGCCTCTAATTCTAAAGGAAAGCTTCCCAGTTATAGACTCTATTTAGGTTTAAAAAAAAGTAAAATTGTTGGGCAAAAAGAAACAAACTTGCAGCTGGAAACAATGAATGTTTTCCCCAACAGGCATGTGGTTGGTCTCCTTCCCAGCCTCTGTTCAGTATTTCCAATACAATCCAGGAATTTCTTCCTTCAGAATCTAGTCCCTATAAAGTTCACTACATAGGACCATTTGATTTGAAACAGTGAGATGGAGAAAAGGGAGTTCAAAAAGTTTWCATTTTYAWTAGTCACGCCAGATGATTCTGATATACCTGAGTTTGAAAGCTGCTCTGAAACTTGATTTATAAGGCATGATTTAAAATTAAAATAAACTTTATTTTTCTCTTTTCGTCAACAACATCAATAAATAATTCATGTCTTCAGTTAGGAGAAGACACATTTAATATTGTTGAAAAGTCGTATGATAAGAAAATATAAAGGGAGCTAATCCTCTTGCATAATTGAAGAATTTAAGTGGTTGAAAAAGTTATAGAATGAACCAAGATACAAAGTCAGTTTTTTTTTTTAATTTCCTTGGGTAGCAAACTCAAATTCTTTAATGCCCTAGGGTACAAAATAACACATAAACTAAGCCATAGTGTATAAAGTAAAATGTAAACTAAGCTGTAAGTACAGCGTAAACATGACACTGTTCTAGTTATAATGTTCTAAACAGGACACATCTTCTGACTACCTATAGACCCAGGTTACTATTTTGCATTTGAATCAGGCTGCTGCAGAACAGTCCATAAGAAACATGGTCTTCCAAAACTGTTTCTTCCAAAACTTAATAATCAAATTTATGATCAAATAGAATACTATTGGAAAGATGTGAAATAAACCAATGAGTAGTTGTTCCTGTAGAAGAAAAAAGAAGATGATCAGGAAAAAAGGTATTTGTTTTTACTATATATACTTTAATATTGCTTTGAAATGTATACCATATGCACAATTTACTTCTAGAAAACCATTTGTGTGTGTGTGTGTGTGTGTGTGTGTGTGTGTACATGCACACGTGTATGCATACATATGAGGAGTACTGGGGATTGAACACTAGCCCTTGTTTGGCGAGCTCTACTTTTGAGTTGTATCCCCTACTCTTTTTATTCAATTTTGACAGAGTATCTCACTAAGTTGTCCAGGCTGACCTTGAACTTGTGATACTCCTGCCTCAGCYTCCCAAGTAACTGGGATAACAAATATGCATCATCATATCCAGTTACAAAATCGTTTTTTAAAAAAGAAAATACTGAACAAAAATAACCTGAAAATATAAATGGGACACACATATATAACTAGGCTTACAATAGTTATATACTACAAGAAGGAACAGAAGACTAAATGGATGAATAGATGAAGTAGCCAAAGAATGKGCAGATCAAAACTACAATGTAGTTTTTTACAAAGTGTTATTGATTAAGGTATTCTTACAAATGGAAAATATAGAAAATAGCTCAGCAATATTCATAGGTCAAAATAGGTACTTTTCATTTTACACATTTTCTTCTGAAAATACTAGCCATATGGTTGACCTGTGTCATTTCCAGCACTCAAATCAATAAGTTTTGCAGAACCTCTGATCTTCCCAGTAGCATGTCTGCATCCAAACCCTTGGCACATAGATGATAAAAGATAGAAGGAAGACAGAAATGATATCAGTAATATGGTAGAATAGGAAGCTCTGAGGTCTTCTTCCCACCAYAGACATAACCATTTAATAGCAATATATGGGTCAATTCCCTTTGTGAAAAACCCAGAAACTACTTCAGAGTCTCCTGYATACCAACAAAGTGTGAAACCAGCCATATCAAAACTAGTAGCAGAAGTGGAAACGTATTTTTTTCATAATCCCCATCCTTGGTAGGTCTTATACAATTTGGAGGGAATCCCAAGATACTGTCATACTATCTGGTAACAACCCCAGTTTCTTCCCAAGAGGGAAAGAACTGAACTAGATGTTTACTATCCAACTTTCCAAGYGCTATCAAAGGGACTAGCGTCTATCTCACTTTTTTGAAGAGTGGTTGGGACCATACAGTAGGGCCCTGGGGGATAGATACAGTGAACAAAGAGGAGGTTTAAACTAGCATGCAGACATTCGCTGTAGCTCCTTCCTCTGATTAAGCTCAGAGTGAGTAAGTAATAAACTATAACTTCTAGCTTTTCCCTGAGGAGGAAAAGAATTAGACCACATGTCCATTGCCCTAGTTTTCCAGAGGGTTCCCAAAGGCCTGCCCTCYGTCTTATCAGTCTTATAGTACTAAGAGGACCCGGCATAGGTAAAGAATCTGGAGCCCGTTACCACAAAGACAATGATTTGATCTAACATGGTAGTAATCATATCCTCTCCCCCTGGCTCATCACTGAGAAAACAGACAAAACCCCTAATGTTTCAAATTATTCCTGGGAACAGAAAGAGTGTTTAAAGAGTGTCTAAACTAGCCTGAGGAGCTAGTTTCAGTTTTGCTTATCTCAAAACACTAAGAGGACTTGGCATATTCTATACACCAGATTAGGGGGTRGGGGTAGACCTAAGAACAAAGAAAGAAGATTAAACTAGCATAAAGTTTTGAGGAACTTCCAGAATCTCTGACCAGATTGATTGATGAGGGTTTCTTTTACACAAAGCCAGTCTATTAAGATTGGTGTCTAATGTAYAGACACCAAAACACAGAATATAAAGGAAAAAGAGAAACAAAGAAATATATTCAAAACAAAGGAAAAAATTAATCATAAAAAATTTTTTGAACCCAAGGAAGCAGAGAAGTATGATTTACCTAACAGACAATTCAAAATAACTATAATAAAAGTGCTCATTGAGATGAGAAGAACATGTATGCACAAAATGAGAATTTCAAGAATTTCTAAGAGACAAACAATATTGAAAAGTACCAAATGGAAAACAGGGAGCAGAAGACTATAATAACTACAGTTAAAAATGAAATAGAGGAGTTTAATTGCAGACTAGATAAAGAAGAAGAAACAACTCCAAACTCAAAGACATGTCTTTGGGAAATATTCATACAGAAGAGCAAAATTAAAATTTTAGAAGGAGAAAGAGGAGGAGGAAGAGAAGAAGAAGAAGAAGAAGAAGAAGAAGAAGAAGAAGAAGAAGAAGAAGAAGAAGAAGATTATTAAGACACTTGTGCGACACCATCAAGTAGGCCAACATATGCAGTATGGAATTTTTTAAAGGAAAAGAGAAACAGAAAAAAAATCAGAGTGTACTCAAATAAATAATGGCCAAAAGCTTCTGAATATGAGAAGATAATGAACATGCAGGATTAGTAAATCTAAAGGATCTCCAAAGAGATGAACTTTAGGAAGTCCACATCAATGTAGATAATAACCAAATTCTCAAAAGACAAAAAAAAAAAAAAAGAATTTTGAAAACAGCAAGAGAAAGGTGACTCCAAAATATGAGGGAAACTCTACAAGACTATCAGCAAAATTTTCAGCAGAAACTGTAAACCAGAAGGGAGTGGAATACAATAGTCAAATTACTGAAAGAAAAAAAATTAAAAAACTGCCAAGTAAGAATGTTCTCTCCAGCAAAACAGATCTTCCAAAAATGACAGAAATAAAAGCAAGAGAGGGTGGATGCGGATACTTTTCCATACAAATAAAAGCYCTGGGAGTTTATCACCACTAGAACTTGCAGAAGTAGGAGTTCTTCAACTTGAAACAAAGTTTCAACTACAAACTACACATCAAAACATAAGAAAGTATAAAATACAGTGCTAAAGTCAAATATATAGACAAACGCAGATGCTATATTATTGTAAAGGTAGTAGATAAT